ATGGATATAATCTAAAAGGGTTGTGCTATAAGTAACCTCTTAGCTGATTTTACCTCCTAACATCAATCTAATCAAACTTTTAGATTTGATTTGACATCATTTTTTTTTTCCTTTTTGTTTTTTTTTGTTGTTTTTTCTTTTAATAATAATAATAATATTATTATTATTATTATTATTATTATTATTATTTTGTTGGAAAAGCTAACCACTTGGAACGATTTTAAAAAGATTCTCATATTGAGAAATATTACTATTCGTTTATTATTATTATTATTATTATTATTATTGATTTACAAGGAGCATATCCAGTGCCTGATGTTTTGTCCAGGCTTCTCCGTACATACAGATCAGAACATTCGATTGCATGGGAAACATTGTATAGTGCTCGACTAAATGTTTTCAATCCGTATAATGCACCACGCAATACACAATTGTAATTCCGATTTTATATAGTCGTTCGAATTTATAATGTCCGATTTGTAAAATGTTGTTTGAAGTTTATAATAATAATAATAACAGTAATAATATAAATATAAAAATATAAAAAAATATTTAATAATAATAATAATATATAAATTAAAAAAGAATTAACAAATAAAAATGTCGTCCGAATTTTAAAATTTTATACGACATTTATAACAACTAGAAGGGAATCATGCGCGTCGTTGGCGCTGTGTTCGTTTTTTTTCTCTTGTTAGCAAAAAACCTCCTCTGATAACAGTCAAAACATTAGTCAACAGAAGGTTCTAATTGTGGAAAAATGTTTGAATTTTATTATTACCTTGAGTACCGGTTGGACTCAAAACGCGGTTCGAAACAACTTTTTTCCATCTTTATGATGTTTTAAAGGCTCTAAAACCACTAATGACCTATCTTCTCCAATGTAATCAATCACGTTCTTTGTGTCAGTTCTAAATGAAATGTAGGTCTAATCCTGCAGTAAACCCGAATGTTTCCTGCAAATTTAATGAAAATTTAAAGATTGTGGAAGGTAAAGACAACATTTTAGTAATGTTTAAATTCTCCCAGAATCATCTTCAGACCCACTTGAATAACACTCAATCAGGTTTTCATGTTTTAAAGTAAGAAGATATAAACTTTATCATAAGCCCAAAGTCTTTAAAAAAATAGTTAAGGGGTATTTGTGTAATTTACCAAATTTGGTAGACTGGGTTTTTGATATTCTGTTGGGCATTGAGAGATAAAAGGTACTTGAATGGCTTTACCAAAATCCACACCATGTTCTTGAACAGAGTTAGTGATTATTTGATGTTGACAAAAAGGGGTTAATTCCATTCTGGTTTGTGCAAACTGGGGTGGGAGATTCCCTTCTTCATCTTCCTCGTCTATGAAAGATTTTGAAAAATCTTCAAATTTATCTACGGTTTCAACTCGGTTCCAAAAGTGTTGTCAAAGAAGTAATTTTGCCATTCGGATTTCGGAATGGAATCCGTTGGTGAATTTTGTATTCCGAAATTACCCTTTATCACTGAAAAAGAAACGAAAATGTATTGCTTAAATTGTTAAAACCTGCTCAAATTTATAAACAATAGAAAAAATATTATACCTGTAGTGGTTGGAAGATGAATGGTTTGTATGAATTGCTTCGTCCTTTACCATAAAATCCTACATATAAATCCTTTTTATTAGAAAAATAAAAAATAAAAAAAATTAATCATTGTAAATTTACAAAATATAGTCTCACCTGAGTTGCAAGGCTCTAGGTTTTAGCATTTGTCTTGGTTTGCATAGTTCTTTATCACAAGGCGTTTGTTCAATTCTGTGCAATGGTGTTTTTAGTGTTTTTCCATGAAATTGGGGTGAATTTCATGGCCTATGTCTGCTGAAACTACAATAAAATAAAACAAAAAACTTTTAGAATATACAAATTATTTTTGACACAAAAGCTTTAAAATTTATGCAAACCAAGAAATCGTTGACGAATTGCATGCTGAAAAACACCCTCTCTGACATATTTATTAGCCAAACAATCAATTATCGCCTCATAGCATCAACATAAGATGAATATGAGACCATGTGTTTTAGCGTATACGATTGCCACTAAAAGTCAAAGAGCGTTGCACAATCAATCAATTTTTCTTTCTACGACAAAAATATGAACCTAAAAAACAACATAAAATTAAAAACGTTGAAAAAAACTTTTAAATGACCAGGGGCATAATATAATTAGTTTTTTTGCTACTAAAGCTCATTTCTAATTTCGTCAATTTACTTAAAAAATTCTTCTTACCTGCTGAAAAGTTGCAACTCAAACCTTCATCTCAAATAGCTGCAAAAAGAAGGCAAATAATGTATAAAGTATAAACATAAAAACATCTATTCATCTTATGCATAAAAAATTTCACATTTTCCATCTTTTCCTTAACATCAAAAAGAAAAAAGAAAAAAAATGCAATATTTACAAATGATAAATATCAAAAAAAAAAAAAAAAAGAAGAAGGAAAAACTCATGTTTGACCTGCATAACAATGTATGTGGAAGCCTCGTTCACATCCACCTATAACCAAGGGTTGTAAGATGAATTCAAGGTTATTAATTTCATAGTCATCCGATTAATTTCATAGAGTCATCCTGTCTAGATAAGCATATCCAAGAATTCACCCACTTAAATTTTTCACAGGGTAGAAACAAATATAAGTTTAATGTAAAAGAAGAGATAGATGATACAGTTTACCAAGTAGAAACATAATCTTGACCAGATTTTTCATTGAGGAGTTTTGTCAAGCAGTTGGTGTTCAAAACTTAAAAACCCATCACAACCATCCTTTTATTATCTTACACGTATCTTCAAGCATCTGCTTTCAATATGCTGAAGAAATAGTTCGTTTCACAAACGAATCTGAATATAGATAATGTTCAGGGGAGATGTAAGCTGATTTGGGGAACCGAGCAATGAAATAACGCACACCATTACAACCCTGTTTTGTTAGTTTTGTTGTTGCAAAATGGATTTAAACTTCAAAACTCAAACTGTTTATATTCAATATATATATATATATATATATATATATATATATATATATATATATATATATATATATTAAAATGTTTTGATAATCAAATTGTAACTTGGTTTGGTTCAAATCGGAATGGAATTTGGTTGACTGATTTAACCATTCATAAATCAATTTGAACAGCAAAAAAACTGTAATGAGGATCGAGGATAGATAGAGTAATGATTTGATTTGAGGAAACATCATATTCATATACTTGTGTACAAAAAAGACCAAAATATAGTAGCTTTTATGTATTTTGCCATCAAAATAGATTGTTATTTCTTGTGTCCAAAAGTAATTTGGAATGTTTATTTTGAAAGAAGCAGAAACCATGATTTTATAGAAACAATTGCAGTCCCTTGTCATCATGGATAATCATTTTTTCATTGTTTCTTCGGGTTTTGTTGCATGATGAATCGTAAAACCTGCAGAAGGAAATAGTAACATACTTTCATTAGTAACATATTATGTGATATCAATAAGAAAAAATACGTAAAAACTTGATGAAAAGCTGAAAAGGTATCCAAAAAAAACACAATTATAAAAATAATATCAAATAGTAGTAAGCAACAGATAACAATGCAGCTTATAAATTCTACATAAGTATATAACATTAGTCAAATCAGGAATAACCTATTAAGTTGAACTTATGAGATAAACTATCAAAGAAATGAAGAATAAACAAATCATAATGTGCCAAAAAGCATACTGTTAGATAAGTATATAATTGACAGCCTAAACAATAGAGTGACAACATTATATAACAAAGGTAAGACAAAAATTAGAAATTGTGCCAACAGAGTAAAAACCATTTAATGATATAAATTACGGATTTACCTACCTGTCCAAATCAATATAAACAATAACAACCTGGTGAAAAAAGTTAGCCTTTAGAGACTTTGAGCATAAACTGAAATTAAACATTTCCAAAATAAATCTCACTTATATCATTCACTAACTTAACAAACAACTGATTGCCGATTCATTCGCATTTGCAGGGACTTTAAATTTTTGTCCCCATAAAAGGTATTAACCTTGTTAAGCTCCTGAAGTATTTTATCCCCCCAAATTTCATGCCACTGGTAGAGCACTATACATAGAAGAAAGTGATTTTCCACAAAAAAAAAAAAAAAGCAAGAAAGGAAATTTATGTAAATATAGTCTGGTTACAATACCTCACTGTCATTTTTAATGCTAAACATAGTGGTATATTGAAAAAAAAAACATAAGTTTCTCTTAAGCATTTCATCGAGCAGGTGGTAGACAAACTTCGAAGTAGAAACTCTAAAAAAAAATCACCTACATGTAATTTGTGTATAACACCATTACATAAAGATATAATTGAAGCAAAGAAATTTAAAAGGAAATTAGTATTTTGGTCTCGGTTAGGCAAAGAAAGCTTATACAAAGAGGAGATTCATATATCAAATTCACAATGGCAGAGAAATTATGAAATTACACACAGATGTTGTTAGAAAGATATGATCAAAAGTGAAAAAAATTAAAGAAATAAACTTACTAAAGTATCTTACCAAGGCTTAGTGTTTGTTATGGGCGATGGCGAGAGAAGTGTGTTGGTATTGTGGAAGCTCTCTCATTTCTAATCATACAATATTTTTTCTGATCCTGAATTCACATGAACCTAACGATACTGCAACAATTACCAAATCAAAGACCGAAACAAATTGTAGAAGTGGTGAAATTGGAAATCTAAATCAAACCCAAATCGAAAGAAAATCACACCTATACGAGTGAAATTGAAAAGCAATTAGGATTCGTGTAGTTGGTGGCATACCTGATGCTTCTCCCATAAACGGATGTGGTTGTGGACCGGTGGAACACTGGTAGTTCGACGCTGGCAAGCGATTTCTGGAGGTTTGGAGGAAAACATCGACGGCGGCGGAATAAATCCATCAACGACAGCACCACGTCTTCTGGTTCCCAAATTGATGATACATGGCATGCGTCATGGTGAATTCACAGATGCAAGATAAGAAAGAGAGGGCAGAAACAGAATACGTAAACGTTTTGTTGGTTATTGTGGAAGCGGTGGGTTTTGGAAGAATCGAGCCAGAATACCCACCGATCGGTGGAAGAATGAAGCAGAAGAAGCCGATGAGGCGGCGATACCGTCTAGGTGAGCAGGGGCAGTAATCGGTGGTGAGAAGGTGGGGCGATGAATCGGAGCACCAGTCGCTCATCGCAGGAAAGTTAAGGAAATAGAGAAAAGCGAACGAATTTGTATTGAGGGGGCAAGGCGGAGAAGGAAAGGGAAGAAGAGAAGAATTAGGGTTTTTTATGAAAAGGTAAAGTTCAGGGGCAGCAGAAGAAAGAGAAAAAAAGTCACTGACTCCCCAACATTTTAAGCTTTTATGTTATATATAATAATAATAATAATATAAATTAAAAAAGAATTAAAAATAACTAAAAAATAAAATAGGAAAAAAACAAAAAAAAATAACAAAAAGATAAAAAAACAAATCAGGATGAGATTGGAAAAGAAGAGGGTATTCGTAGAAAAACCCAATCTAAAAATCTTTTAATTTCGTCTTTGGCTCTGGCTCTAAGATATTTGGCTCTAGCTCCAAGAAATTTGGCTCCAATTTACTTCCAGGAAGTGGAATATTTGGCTCCAAAGAATACATGAGAAAACCCTATATTTTTGGTGGTGTTCTTTTTTGCTCGTGTTCTCCAAACCTTCACAATTGGTTAAATCATCACAATCTGCTGAGCTACAGTTCGCATCTTCTCAATTTGTAGTCAACAATCGGTCCCCTAAGCCCTTCTACCGACTCCGTCTTCTCCAAATCCTCATAATCGGTTCGTCGTTTTCACTCTCTGCAATTTGCATTACTTCCTATTTATCTCAAAACGACTTCTTTTGGTTAGTAGTAATATATAGCCTTTCTATATTTCTTTCATATATGTCATAAAATCGATTTTTTTTATAAAGCTCTCTGTTCTCTTGCTTCTTGCACAGGTATTTACACACAGGGACTCTACAGTAGGTAATAAATTTTGATTTGAAGATAAAAATGTTTCTTACTTATTTTTAACATTTTTGGTGCTAAGATATATGCTTTATTGCATTGCAGATGTCTGATGTATCTTTTATTGGGCCATGTCTATTTGACGATGATCGATATATAGACTCACACTCACCATCTGATACAAGTGTAGATACTTCAAGAATGGAAAATTCCAAATGTATTTTGAGTTTTGTTGATGTGCCTCCACCGTATTCAGGTGTTGGTATATATGATTGTTTATACAAATGTCTAAAAGATTGGAATATTGAAAGTAAGGTGGCTAGTTTGACGGTTGACAATGCCAAGACAAATGATGTGGTTGCTAGGAAGTTACTTGAAAATTTGAATCTTCAAAAGAAAGTTGTTGTTGGTGGGAAGTTATTTCATGTGCGTTGTTGTGCACATATATTAAACTTGTTAGTTCAAGATGGTTTGTCTGAAATTATAGATATAACCCATAATGTTCGTGAAAGTGTGAAACATGTAAATGCCTCGCCGGGTCGGTTACCTGTCTTTAGTGATCTTTCAAAGCAATTATCCATGCCAAAGAAGCATTTAATTTTAGATGTTAGTACCCGGTGGAATGCCACATACGCTATGTTGTCTACAGCCTTGGAGTTTAAAGATGGTGTTTAAGGATTATGCTGATAGAGAATGTTCATACACCACTTTGCCGAGCGACGAAGATTGGAAAAAAGTTGAAGATATTTGTTTGTTTTTAGCACTTTTCAACGAGGCTACACAAATAATTTCAGGTTCTAGTAGTTCATTTTATGTTTTTTATGTATAATTTACCATATGTTTTTAGTCATTTCACCATGTTAGTAATCTGATCGTCTAATATTTTTACTAATCTTATTATTTTCTATTGATTTTTGCATAGGCTCCGAGTATCCTACATTTATCCATGCCAAAGAAGCATTTAATTATTTTCTATTGGTTGCGTAAGTGAATACTTAAATCCTTAACTATAACATTTTATATACAATAATAACCTTTATAAGTTTTCTTTATACACCCAATACGCATTTAAAAACACAAAAATATAACTTACTTTTGTAACAAAATATTCCTTGAAACATAGTCATAGAATTAAAATAGGCATCCAAATTTTTTTGGGTCAACGTCCTTAACAACAAGTCTTTGTGATACATATTTTAACATAACCTATAAGAAACGATCAATTAAAAACTAAAAAACTTAATCTTAACATCAAGAAAGCACTCAAGATATTGCAAGTTGTTGAGGCTCAAAGGTCGGTTTTTTGACTTGAAGAAATACCAAGAAGCTCAGCTAGTTCTCCACTTTCATAAGCTTCAATAGTATCTGTAGTAACCAAAATGACAAACATTTATTAGACCACATTCTATAGGGGTATTACAGACATTTCCACCAACAGGTCCCACAGCCAACATGAGAAGTAAAATATAATGTCACATCAGCATTCTACTTTTTATTCAACTTTACCGTATCTTTCATTCAAATATCGTTTATTAGTATATTGTTCTATAGATATGTAAATGTTTTTTTAAATTTCAAATATTATATTAATTAATATGAATATGAATTTACCATCTGAACCTCCAAGATGTTTCCCGTTAATGAACACTTGTGGAACAGTACGCCTCCCAACAAGCTCACCTAGAGCATTCTGAATTTTCCCTCCATCCTCTGCAAAACAAGAATGGATCTTGTTAAAAAAAATTCTATAAATGGCATAAAATATCTCATGTTTGATTTGTTATATTAGTTTAAACAGAAAAAATTATATGAATTTGGAGACCAAATCAATGTCTGCATGTAACTTGCAAAGATAATAACAGGAAAAAAGGTAACTTTCAACTTGGAAGTTGGAAGTTGGAACCTTTTAAAGAAACATAAATGTTGCAAAGAATGTAAGATTAAAGAGCACAAACAGTTGCCATAATTATAAGATTCATGATGATGGTCTAATTTGTAGGTTAAAGAAGTCAATCTATGGGATTAAACAAATTTAATAGTTGGTGGTTTGGTAAGGTTACAATTGTCAAATATATTAGCCTAGCCTATTAGTTGATTGGATTTTCTTTTAGTAATAATGTCTAATAAAGATTGATTTGCTGCATGAAATCTGAGAATCTAATAAGCTGATAAGTGATAATCTCTTAGACAACAATACGATTTTGATTTTTGACATATTACCTACCCATCTCAAGACTCAAGCATTATGCAAATTGGCATTATTTAAAGTTTTGAAATGTAGAATCATATGAAATACTGACCTCTCTCATCCAGCTCAATGACATAAGGTTTCTTATTCAACTCCTTGAATACACCTTTAGCCCTTTTACAGTATCTGTTAAAAACAAGAAATAGCAAATGGTTAAACAAATTTACATAGACCATTTTAGTGTTTGTAGTAGAAATGGATAAATGGAAGTGGTTTTTGGTTTAATACACCAACTATGTATAGTGAAGAGTTCATATTCCAGTAGTAAATTATGTTCACAAGAAGATGAAGATATCTAGCTATTGAAACACCTGCAATCACCTAAATTCCCACACGTTCGTGAAATTCTATCAATTAAAAGTGGTATGTATGCCAAACGATAAAATAATGACACAAAATTAGTTGATACGAGCCATGAGGATGTTATAACATGTTCGTACAAGAAATTAACAGCCAAACAATTCATATTACTTATATGTTAAAGCAAGTTCAACTACAGAGAATAATTTCGATGAAAGTGGTTGGTTAGAGTACGCTATGAACCTCAAACTACCAAACAGTTTATACAAATTATCGACAGAATAGGGGGTTCGATGTTTTCAAAATAAAGTTGTTAGTTGAGAGATTAACAGTGGATTTCCGAAACTCACGAATAGAAATACGAAGATTCAGATAAAAGATCGAGGTGTATGAAATATACATACGGGCAGTACGATTTGGAGAAGATGACTATGGGGTGAGAAGAGACGGTCTTCTTGACGAAATCGACGGATGATTCTTCTGCATTACACATATAGAAGGCGGTGATCGTTAACAGGATTACGCAAATGAAAGGTATCGCGGCGGATCTGGCCATTTTCGGCACCGGTTTTGCAGCGATTCCGATAGTTTGTTGAACTTCTGCCGTCAAATCGAGATCTGTTTGAATTTGGGCAAGGAAAAATGGACCGACTATTTTAGGATTTCTATCTTTGTGTTTGTTTTATGCTAAAAGTCATTATATTTTAATTATATATTTTAATCATTATATTTTATTTCAGTCGATTAAAATCGTCTTATTTTGATAAGAAATTTTCAATAGTGTAGCTATTGTAATCCTTTATTTCCGACTTAGCACATACGATTAAACATTGACATAGTCTATCGATTAAAATGCTTAGTTAATGCCTTGAGAAGGGAATGTTTGATGCTTTGGTCCGTCTAGGATTAGTCTGATTCCTTTAGGCTTTAGATGTTTAGTTGGGCACGCCTTCGGTCAAGACATCGTAATAAATGTTTTAAGCCGGTTGGACCGAAAATTAGAGACGATAGCGGTTCAACAACGTCCGATTTTACATCAATTTCTAAACCGGATCGAACCGGACGACTTCTTCAAACCTGGATTTAACCGGTGTGTGATAGGACCGATAAAATATAGTTTGAACCAATTTATTGAACTTACATAGTTGAATTTTCTTAGCATGTTAAAAAAACATCGCATTTCCAAAGCAAATTGAACATTTTCGAAGTGTACATGACTCGAAAGCTGACGCACGCCATCGCCAGACTTAAGAAAAATCTTGGTTGAACATGCGATGGAACCGATTGAACCGGGAATCAGTCACAAGACCAGTTCAACTAAAAAACTAGTTTTTAAAACATTGCATCCTATCATTCTTCTTCTTCATCCGATTCCCATACGAGCTTTAGTTGATCTAATATCTCCGTCCTTAATTGGTTGTGTTTCTGTTGTTCGTATGAATAGTCAAACATCCTAATTGACATGTATAAACATCCATAACCTCATTAGTTTTCCAACAATTTGTTTTGACGTCTTAAGAATTAGTATTGGTAAAACGTTGATTCTTTTGTAAGACTTTGTTTTTGAACCAATATGTTAACATTGTTAATCCATATTTTTCTCTTTGAAATATAGTTTGTGAAGAATTGTATCATTTTGTAAAGTCCAAATCTTACAAATCTAAAAGTCCAACTTAACTTTGATATTGTTGTTTTTATGAGTTTTATTAAGTGATCAACCATCTCTAGTACCGATTTAGTATTCAGACTATGATAGTGAATCATGTGATTGTAAAACCTCCCAATTTCACCTTTAAACTTTTGTTTTTTTTTTAACTTCCAAGGCATATATTTTTTTTTTATGAAATATCTTAATGTCCACGGGTTGCACATATTAGAATTATGTTCCTAAATTTTTGATAAACACATATTGTTGAAAAATAGTATGTCATTAACATCAACTATAGAATAATAATTTTTACACTAAAACTGTGTTTGACGCGCCACAGCTATCTGATAAGCTAGCTTATTTTTTGAGTTTTTTTATGTTGCCGTGTTTGGTAAGCCAAAAAGTAGCTTATAAGCTACCTTTTGAAAAGCTACTTAGACTAGCTTTTAGGAGCTTTTTTAAAATTTTCCAAATACACCTCTTAATTAATTATAAAAACACATATTCTTACATGTCCTTTTATGTAATTTTATATATTTCAGCTAGCTTTTCAGCTAATCAGCTAGTTTTTTATTTAACAGCTAGCTTTTCAGCTAACATGTAGCTTTTCAGCTACTACGCCAAACATAGTCTAAACTGATACATAAAATTATAACTATTTGTAATGTATTATGAGATAAACATCTATTATATTCATAAAACTCAATAACTTCTACTCACGAGTTACGAATAAATAAAATTAAATATTACTCTTGATTTAGTTTTACATTTTAGCTATTCCTACGATTAAATAACTTAAAGTATATTTATTTGATCATTTTTGAATCTAATTACTAATCACCACTTAATGTGCACTTGAAAGAATATCGAATCAACTTTATAGCAATCAATGAAAAAAATCTAATGTTGAAGACTAATTTTTTTTTTTCAAGTTATCGATCATCTTCAATGTCGATATGAATTATTCATACCTTCAACTTGTCAACTAAGATAAACACAACCGTAACTGATGACATATGTTAACCGAAAACTACATAATATGAACAATTTCAAGAAAAAAACTTACTGTAATGTTAATGATTAAGAGAACGTGATTTTGTGTCCAAAAAAATAATTATGGTAAAGAAAAGTAAAAGTATGATTAAAAAAAGGGAATTTGACTTATTAAGGTAATTAAGTATTTCAAATGTTCACATATGGGTAATATTGTTTTTTTTGTACTCATTTACCCAACTAACTTGTTTCACCCGTTCACAAATAACCAACTTTACCGGCTATTGTAGGTTTTGGGTGATGTGGCATCTACGTGGCTTTGTACGCTGCAATACTCATCACCTACGTGGCATTGAGAAGTGTTTACATTATAAGAAGGGTGAGATACGACTGCTTATTAATTAAAACCCTAGATCGATCGATGACATCTTCTTCCTCATCCTTTTCTTCCAAACGACAAGACGAATTACAACCAGATCATCCATGTGATTGTGACTTGCCATCTCGTGTGAAGACATCAAGAACCCCAGACAATCCTGGAAGGAAATTCAGAGTTTGTCAAAACTCACTGGTAATTCATATTTTTTTACTTCTTCTTCATCCTTCAATTTAACATGTTTTTATAAATTTCTTGAAGAATGGAAAAAGTCCAAGCTGTAAATTTTGGCAATGGTTGGATGAGGATGAAGGGGAGGAAAGATGGAAGAGGGCATTACAGGATGAAAGCAGAAGAAAGCTGCAATCTTACCTTGAAAATTTGTACCTTGGAGAATGAAATCAACATATGCAGGATGAAGATTGAAGAAGAGAAGAACAAGAATAAACAAGAACTTGACAAAGTCAATTGGAAATTGTTTACACATAGACTTGCATTAATTTTCTTGTTTCTCTTGTATGTCAAAATGTTGTTTTAAATTATGTATTATGATGTAGTATGACTAAATTATGTATGCTTTTGTGATGTTTTCAATGAAAAATGTTATATTCAATCATTGGAATGGAATTGTACATTGTAATGGAATTGTTATTAAACTTGGTAGTATAAAAGATAGTAATAAACATTTTAATGGAATTGAATCATTGTAATTGAATCATTGGAATTGAATCATTGGAATGGTAGTGTACAAAACTTGTAATGTTATTGTGAATCATTGGAATTACATTGTTCAAACAATGTAATGGAATTGTGATTACAATTGATATTCTAAAAGATGGTAATAAATTATAAACAATACAAATGGTATTAGAAAGATGTGCAAAAGGTGGTAATACATTATAAACATTCCAGGGAACATTGACTTCAAAAGATGTGTCAAAAGTTTTACATAACATAGTTAGACATTCATTACACCCAAAAGATGTGCAAAAAGTTAAACACTACACACTTAAACATGCATTTAAGCTATTCCAACTAGTTTTCAAAAGATGTGCCAAAAGATTCCAAAGTTAAAAGATGCCAGTCAAAGATGCCAAAAACATTAACAACAGTACAATAAGCCAAAAGTTAATCCAATTCATACGGTTTGTCATCACTGCTTCCCTGTTTTCCCTCCCACATCTTTCTTATCTTCAGTTTTGTAATTCTTTCTGAAGGTTTCCTTGCCCTCTTTCCCACTACAACTTGAAAAGCTGGTATTTCCACTTGATCTTGAACTACAATTTGGTTAGCATCTTCAACTTGAACTTGCACTTCAGGTTCAACTTCAGCTTGAACTGCAGGGTGAACTTCAACTTGGTTAGCATCATGAACTTCAGGATGTATTTCAGGTTCAACTTCAGCTTGCACTTCATCTTGAACTTCATGTTGCACTCCATCTTGGACTTCAGGTTCTACTCCATCTTCAACTTCAGGTTGCACATCATCTTCAAATTCAAGATCAAAAAGAGTCGACATCACTTTCAGGTTCTATTTCAACTTCACTGTCACTGTCAATATCAACTTCATGTGCCAATGCATTATCTTCAAATGCAACCTTCACTTTACCTGTTTTGCATTACTTGAAAAGTTAAGTTATGCCAAATATGTTAAGTTATACAAGTTATATATAAATAAATATATCAAACATACCATCTTTCTTGGATTTCTTTTTCTTTGAACTTGCATTTGATGATTCCCCAATTGGTTTCTGAGGACAGGTTGTTCTATTATGCCCACTTTCCCTACATATGCTGCATTTCATCACACTTCCTCTTTTTGTGATTGAATGCTTTTTTCCTTGGTTTTCCCTCTCAATCTGATCCCTTTTCCTTTTTGTTGATGGTCTTCCTGGTAGCCTTCTCCTTTTGGGGGGCAATGGGCTGATGTAGTCTACATGAGGCCACATGTCACTACCATTTAGTGGGTTAATGGTATACCTGTAACAGTTTAGGTACATTGATGTGGTAAACCATGGTGACACATACTCCTTTACAACATTTTACCAATAACCTTTCATAATCACTTTTCTCATACCATAAATCATATCCATTTTTGACTGCATAGTTGGTGATACACAACTTCAATTCCAATGGATTAGAAAACTTCATACCCAAAACTGGCACCATTTGCTCCCATTCTTGATTCTCATTATGGACAGGGAACACAACATCCTTAAGCTTCCCATTGTTTGCTTCCTCTTCATCATCATCACTAATATGCCCTAAAAGTTTGTCCAAGAATGGGTCTCCAACAATTTTATCAAAACTATGTTCCTCTTCATCATCCCATTCATGTTCATATTCCATTGTCATTGTCACTTCAGAATCCTTGTCATCCTCTTCATCCATATAATCCGACTCATACCCTTTACCATCTGCTAATAAACTCGTTATCAGCCCAATCAAGAATTGGTTCATTTCGGTGGTCAATGTACACATCTAGCTCACTCTGAAGACTATCACTCTCCAGACTATAAACAGTTTCCACAAACTCCCAATAATCAGCATCACAGGCGATTCTTCTAATACCCTCACACAAGCTTTCCTTTCTCATACAGTAGTAGACATTATCACAGGCTCCATTGGTTAATTTCGTAAGCCACAAAAGAAACTCTTTATACGTAAATACCCCAAAATCCACATCACGTACATTTGTTTTTACGGGGTCTAAGTACACAAATGGGTTTGGCGAAAAGAATCCATTGTAATGAAAATCTACAGATACATACATACCTGTAGATGAGGATGCCATGCTAGCAGTCGACTTCAATTCCAACTTCAATTTCAAGCCCTAATCGTCGATTTGATGTATCGATTGATTTCTCACAGAAGAAGGTAATCGAGGTGTGTTAGCTGACGATGACGAACCCTAATTAAATGAGAAAGGGGTGTAATGGCCACGTAAAATTCCACGTAATGTTTTCAACCCAGCTAAATCAATGTTACCGGCTAAAACAGGTAATAGCCGGTAATATTGGTTATTTTTGAACGGATGAAAAAAGTTAATTGGGTAAATGAGTACAAAAAAAACAATATTACCCATATATGAACATTTGAAATACTTAATTACCTTAATAAGTCAAATTCCCTTTAAAAAAACCTGCTTGTTTTTGACTTTTGTACGCTCCATTATATTCAGAAAATGGACGTGATTCATACCTGAAAAATACTCTCTTTCGTCAAATCCAATTAAAGCACACGGGTTTATCACGCAATCTTCCGTTCGTTTCCCGTGCTCTCACCCAAACCCCCAAATTTGAAGAACGCCCACCCGCCTTCTTCCTTCCTGAAGCTGCACTACCGCTTGAAGCCTAATCAATTCAAGAATTTTCCCCATTAATCACCAATTTCAATGGCCTATGTAGATCATGCCTTTTCTATATCAGATGAAGACATCATGATGGACTCTGATTCTGCTTACACCGTACACAACCGACCTCCGGTCAAGGAGATCGCTCTCGCCATCTCGCTTCTTGTCTTCGGCATCGTCGGCATCATCTCCGGCATCTTCATGGCTATCAATCATGTTGGCGGCGACACGGGCCACGGTAACTCTCACTACCCATAAATGTTTTTTATTTTGTTAATTGTTTGTGATTTTATCTTAAAAATTGTGTTCTGTGCTACGATTAGGGCTGTTTTTTGCGATATTGGGGGCGGTGTTGTTCATTCCTGGGTTCTACTACACACGGATTGCTTACTACGCTTACAAGGGTTACAAAGGTTTTTCTTTTTCCAATATACCTCCTGTTTAGGTCTGAATCATATTGTACCTCTTTCAAATTTCAGTATGTAAATTTCGTTTCTCTCTTGTTTTTACACTTATTTGATGTTCTTTTTTTGTATGAAATAAGAACATGGTTGTAATGGAAGCTATAGAGTTCTTTAATAGGAATGGTAAGTTTGATACTTGTGTATGTATTATCAGCTGCCATATCTGTGAAACTGGTCCTAAACTTATAAAAGATTGTGTCTTGCATAGTATTTTGTATGCATTGAAGGTTTTCATTTTTTTCCTGTGGCTCTTGCTGGTGGAAGATTCATCATTTTGATGTATAATAGGTGATTAATTGTTACTTGGTTGCTATCCTGATGGTGACTATGCAATAACATTTGTCCTGGTAGGTTGTTATTCAGTTTTTGTGTGGTTTACTCAACTGGGATTCTTATTTTACCCTTTTGTCTAAGACTCTAAGTTTACTGAAAATAATTCAAGATGTCAAAGCAATATCCTTAAAACCTGATGCTTTTAAGGATACTGATTGATTTACCTACTTGCTTTTATGAGGCATAGGAGCATGTAACATGATTTATGTTTGGTGTGATTCTGAATTATAGTTTATTAAATATAACACTTGCTATTTGTTTCCATCTTTTAGCTGTATGCCTGTATCTCAATACTTCCAGTTGAGTTTAAATATTGATGCATTTTATTGTGATCTTATTTGTTTCCTTGTTCTGCTTTTAGTCTCATTCCCAGTTTTATTTATTCAAAGAAGGTGAAACTGAATCTTGTCTTGATATTTGATTTTAGGGTTAATGTCATAAATGAGTAACGAATAATTATGTAAACGAATCGTTTCAGTTGATTATCTTCTTCTAATGGTACTTTAAAAAAACAATGATGCTTTGTAAAAAACAAATAGTTTGTTACCTATATGTGACATTATCCCTTGATTTTACCCTGACACAAGTGGCTTAGAAAATATATGCATAGAATCCTATCCTTAGAGTAAAAGAATATGTATTAAATTTCATTTACTTGGTTTGGAAAAGTAAAATTAACATAAGATTGAAAAGGGAAGTGAATAAAAAGTTATCCTAATCCAAACATGACAAATCATCTGAATGATCCATTCCATTTTTGTTTGTTTTGTCTGATTGAATACAACAGATAATCTCTGTTGGAAGGAATATGATTGTCAATTTTCATTCCTAGCCATGGCCCATTGGTTCACGGATTCTTTGGAATACTTTTTTGGACCAACATTAAAATCGCACTTATACAATATTCTTTCTATGTAATCTCTTATCTCTCTTTAGTCTTTACAATAAATATTTCCAAAGTATCCTACTAAAGAGCTAAAAGTACAATCTTAAGTAGAATGCTAAGTTGCTAACTCTGTTATCAAGTGTGTTAGAAATGTGTTTCCTAACCAATTGGTTATTTATACATTCAGTCATTTATGTTTTTTTTTACATGTATTATATCTCACCATAAGACTTAATGGTCGTATGTGTATAAAAAATAATAGCTAAATATGTATAAAAAATATATTAGTAGTCATATCATAACTCATGTGTATAAAAAAACTTGAATGACTAAATATGTATATCAGACAAAGTTTATTATTCTTATAAGTCATTAATCCATTTTACAATGTTTATATTCTCAAAATCGGTGGATATTTGTGGACCAAATTTTGGAGAGCTTGTGTCTAGGATTGCAAACGAGTCGAGCCTGAGTCTGAGTCTGGCCAAGCTCAGCTCGGGATTGTTTATGTTATAAGGGGCTCGAGCTTGAGCTCGGCTTGATTCGAGCTTTATAGTACAGAGCTCGGCTCGAGCTCATGACGAATTATACAAGCTCGGCTTGGGTTCGGCTCGTTTTTTGTCTGTCGAACCTAAATAAGCTTAAGCTTAAGCTTGGTTCGAGCTCGTTAAGAAGCTCGTTAAGAAGCTCGTTTACTAATACCCTAAATCCTTAATTCCTCAAATATGTTTTTATTTTAACATATAAAAATAATAATAATTAATATTATATATAGACTTGTTTAGGCTTACGAGCCTAATCGAACTTAGTGACACATGCTCGAGCTCGAGCTCGTTTAATAAACGTAGGGTCGAGCTCGGTTCAGGCTTGTTTAAAATAAGTCTCGAATCGAGGTTTTAACGAGTCGATCCCAAGTATCTCACGAATAGCTTGACTCGTTTGTATCCCTACTATATCCATGCAACTTGGTATACTTTTGTCTCACTTATGTAAAATTGTGTCAATAATTTGAAAGATGGTGATCTATTCAACCTTAGATAGCATATAATCGTATAAAAACATGAGTTGTTTACCTTTTTAAAATATAAAATTGGTTATTTGGCAAGTTTAAGACATTCTAAAAAGTTAGTTTTATAAAAAAGAAAATAGTAATAACCGAATAGATACTCATATACTACTTTTGAATTCCATCTATGTCCCATTTTATTTACTTTTGAATTACATCTATGTCCCATTTTATTTTCTTGATTATCCCGTTACAAAGTACTAATAGTGTAATTTAATCAAATAATAAAATATAATATTTTTAATAAATATTCATAAATTACTCTTGAATTTCATCTCACAATATCGTTAGGCAAAAGGCGTATCGGTGCATGCTACAAGTGAAATGAAAATAATAATAATAATACAAAAAATTTTCTAACCTTTTTCTATTTTTTATTTTATTTTTTATGAATAAGCTTTGAAAACTGTATCTCCTATTTTGGGAGCTTTTTTTTTTTTTTTTTTTTTTTTTACAACAAGTCTAATTTAATCCTAAACTACTTTTAAATTCATATATATATTAAATTTGAACCCTCAACCTCAAGAAGGGAATACAACACTGATACCGTGGGTTAGAAGCCCTTTGGTATCAGGTATAGTTATGAGCTCTCATAATGACCTTTTTATTGTTTTTCCATATATTTTATTACTTTTAGATGACATGAAAACTTTGTTATTTTGTTATTTTGCAAACAGACTTAGTGAAAACTCTTTACTTTATTAGAGTGGACCTATGTTAAGGTTTTTAAGTTGTTATGGTGTCAATTAGATGACATGATAAACTTTGGTATTATGGGCGCTCTAGTATATACTTAGATAACTTTGTTATTTTGCAAATAAACTTAGTGAAAACTCTTTACTTTATTATATTGGACCTATGTTAAGGTTTTTAAGTTGTTATGGCGTCAATTAGATGACATGATAAACTTTGGTATTATGGGTGCTCTAATATATACTTAGATAGTATATACTTAATACATGTCAATCCAATACTAAAATTGAACTTTTACATCAATTTTGGTGTAAAGTAATACAAAAATTTGGTATTGATAATAGTATAACAAAATTTTACATCAATTTTGGTGTAAATTAATACAAAAAGTTAGTATTGATAATAAAATAACAAAACAAATTATGTTATACTATTCGTTAACATAAAATATAATGTCATAAATTTAGTAGCACAAAATTTGGTGTAAAGTAACATTCACAATGTTAATATATGAATTTAGATATTTTTAGATTTTTTTTTCGATAAAGAATAAGCTCTAGAAATTGAAAAAAAGATTTGGTTCCTTGAAGAACCAATAATTATGGTTCTCTATTAAATTTTTCCATATATATATATATATATATATATATATATATATATATATATATATATATACACACACACACACATACACACATAGAGAGAGAGAGAGGTAAGTTCCGTTGAGATTAAAAATAAAATAGAGATCTTGAGATTCAACATCAACCACGTATTTCACATATGCCGCTCTAACGCTCCGGCGTACCGGCGCGGCAAGCCTGTTATAATCATAAATGATTATACAGCACCGCTCGTTCCTTTCTTCTCCGCCACCATCCCCACCACCATAACTGCCATTGCCACCACCACTACCACCACCTCTGACACCAGCCGACCCCACCACTGTCACCTCCGTTACTTATACCAACGCCACCCCTGTCACTACCACTTTCTACCACTAACTGTCATAATCATTTATGATTACTCCATCTGTGAACAGACATATATGTATAATCATTTATGATTAGACATATACGTATAAACATATATAATCTTATATGACTATACTTCTCTGCCATATAATCATTTATGATTAAGCATACCCTGTTGTTGTCGGTACGCTGGAGCATTAGAGCGGCAAATGAAAAATATGTGACTGAGGTTGAATCTCAAGATCTCTACTTTTTTTTTTAATCTCAAGTGAACCGTATATATATATATATATATATATATATATATATATATATATATATATATATATATATATATATATATATAACACAAAAAACATATATGACAATCTAGTAATACACATTTAAAATATATATTATTTTATTTTTCTTATAATATAGTTGATACAATTATTGTAATAAAAATATATAACTCAATTTTGCATATAAAATTAATAAATATAAGCATTTTTATTGTAAAATTAAAAAGATGTAAAAATAAAAATGTATATTTAGAATATTCTTTTTAGTCTAAAAAATATGTATTGGGTTGAAGATGATTTAATATTTACATTTTCTTTTAGGAAAATATGTAGCAAAGGCCGAAACATTGACCTTATTTGTGAAAAAAAAAGGTTTTATGTTTTTAAGCAAAAAATGAAAATAAAAAAAAGGCAATAGTTTACATAAAAAACAAAAAACTAACAATAATTTTCCGTTTAGGATTTTAGATGGTAGCGGTATTCTTTATAAAAGTCTATACATTTTGGCATAATTAACGTCAGTCATTGGTTTTTTAACACAAAAGTACGAATAATATTATATTTATTATAATATTATTATATTCTTATTGTTTGGACGATGATATAATCTTTTTGCAATCTTATTGTATTTTGTTTTTCTAAGAGAAATATTATATTTTGGATATTTTATTGTATTCTTTCTTATAGATGATATTATTATCTTACCATATAATCTTATTGAAATGTCTATGTCTGAAGTAAAGTATAATATTACTATATTTTTTATGTTTTACTTATGATCTTGTTTTATTATATTCTCTGCGTCTTACAAATAACAGTATTTTGTTGTAATTTATATTATTTTTGGTTGATAGAGGGTTATCTTATTCTAATATTGATGATATTCTCTCCGTTTAATAGATGATATTATCTTATTATAATCCTGTTATATTTTCTTTCTTTAGCATTCTCTTTTCAATGTATGTTCTCTATCTCATAGAGAGTATTGTTTTACTATAATGTTACTGTATTTTTTGTCTAACAGAATATATTATCTTATTCTAGTGTTACTGTATTCTCTATGTCTATCTCTGACACAGAGTATTTATTGTAATTTTATTTTATTCTCTACGCTTTAATAACAGAATGTATTATTTTTATCATATTTTTTTAGCATAACAAATGATATTCATCCTAATGTAATCTATTTATGTGGCATCAATATTATATTAGTATAATCATATTATAATCTTTTGTGTTTTTTTTTCTTTTAAAAAGGGAATGGTTTTATGGTTAATGTACCCAGATTATAAAGACTTTTTAAATTACTTGCAAAACTTTAAATTTTTGTTAAAAAAGGTCTTTATTTTTTTCAAAAAGGGCAATTGTTAACAATTTCTGATTTTTGTTTAAAAAAAACAAGATATTTATTTTTTTATAAGGGAAAATGACACAAACGCCTTATGAATTTTCTAAGGTTTATTCTTTTATTTGTCTCCTTTTTGAAGTTTTGAAGTGGTAAGCCGGTTACCCCTTTGCCACCTCATTATATTAATAGACAAATGTGTCTACATAGGATGAAACAGCTCATCGTCATCTTGACAGATCACCATCTCGCATCTCCAGAACACAATAAATGGGAGGTGGCGTTTGTTTTGAGTTAATGGGTTTATGATTGAAATTTAAGAGCTTTCTTCAACAATCACAAGCCATCCATATGAAGATCCACATCGACGATTGCTATAAGAATCTTCAAGCAGATCCATGAGGTGAGCTTTATCATTGGAGGCGTTTAGAAAGCTTCAGGTATTTGATTGTGGATTCTGATTTTTTCTTCGAATGAGCATTAACCAGGGGATTTGACATGGTAAATGTTTAGGGATTCTTCATGTCACGCTTCGCAAAGCTAAACAAACTGCTCTAAATCGAAGATAATCCTGATGAATCTTTAGTTTCTTCGCAATTCTCAAGCAATTATGGAGCCGACCAATCCACCGAAATTGACATTTATTTCTGTTAAACCCTGTTTTTTTACCATGAAT